GAAACTCTGGATTGGTCTCTGCTTTAGCTGCTGTTAGCTGCCTTAGCTCCACTGTGGCTAACAGTGCATTCCACTGCAAACCGGTTAGCTATGGTCACATCGGTTCAAAGCAAATATGTAAATAAATAAATAAATAAAATACATATCCTCACGAAGACCTTCAATTAGAAAGTCAGAAAAAAACAACGATACCTGTTTCATACAAACTTCAAAGATGTGAAGTTATTCTTCATGCAGGAATTAGCCAATGAACCGTTAAGCTAACTGTTGTGTTTCCAACCAATGGATGTCGAGTAAAGCTCTGATTGTATGAAACTACTTCCGCTTTCAAATGTTAGCTTTTCATGACAACAGTTTGCGTTTCACTGTAAAGTCATCGATCAGACGCACCTCTGTCATTTATTTTCTCTTACCTTCCCTCTTGTGTGCTATAAAAAAAAAAAAAAAAAAAAAAATGAGTCATTTTGAAAAAAAAAAAAAAAAAAAAAAGTTTATATGGCCTTTAATTTACTTCGGAAGAGGATTAGGGCCTCTGAATTTTTTTTTACTGATTTTTTAATTTTATTCCAGTATAATTTAAGAAAAAAAGTCTGAATTCTGACTTTAATATCAGAATTCTGACTGTTTTTCTCAGAATTCCAAATTTTTCTCAGAATTCTGAATTTTTTCTCAGAATTCTGACTTTTTTCCTGAGAATTCTGACTTTTTCCTCAGAATTCAGACTTTTTTCTCAGAAATCTTTTTTTTTTTTTTCAGAATTCAGATTTTTTTCTCAGAATTCAGACTTTTTTCTCAGAATTCCGAAAAACTAAGTGGCTGGAATAGTGTAAAGGAACATCTGTGCAGAGTTTGGGCTGGAAACCCCAAGGTGAAAGTAGGAAATGCCTCTAAAGATGGTACAGAATGACAGAGCCAAGATTCTGAGGGACTTCCAGATACAGGCGGACCGAATTGTAATGGCAAACCAAGCAGACATTGTGGTGGAAGACAAAAAGCAGAGGAAAGCCATTTTGGTGTAGCAATACCAAGAGACTGCAACATCAGGAAAAAGGAACATGAGAAACTAGAGAGGTACCAGGGGCTCAGAGAAGAGCTGGAAGGTCAAGGCATCAGTGGTACCCATGGTCATTAGGGCCCTCGGGGCAGTGACCCCCAAACTGGAGGAGGAGTTACAGCAGATCCCTGGAAATAGATCAGACATCTCGGTACAGAAGAGTGGAGTTCTAGGAACAGCAAAGATACTGCGCAGAACCCTCAAGCTCCCAGGCCTCTGGTAGAGGACCCAAGCTTGGAGAAAAAAAAGGGAGACC